AATCGGGATTGCACACGTGGTTAATGAGGGGGCGTGGCACACAAGAGGATCAGACGAGCAGGTCATCACACTGGAAAAAATTAAGAGACCACTCTATATTTTAAACAAATTTGTATTTTAAATCCTGGATTAATCCTGGTTCTGCTGGCAGAAGGCTATGCTGAGCAGCAGGTTGCCACCAAGTTCAAAATTTCTAAGACAGCAATACACAAGAATAAGGTGAAGCAGGAAAAAATATATTATTCACAGAGATTCACACCCATACACTGAGAAATGAGTGAAACAAAAAAAAATGTTTAATCTTTTCCAGAGCTGTATATTTGCATACAACTCTAGACAAATCATTCCAAAATCCAGTACCAAAAGGGCAGTTTCAGAACAGAACAGCGCTGTTTCAACATGGGCATTACTCAATATCTGTCACGCCCAGCTCGTATGATCCTCCTGTGTGCCACACCCCCCTCGTTAACCTCAGCTGTTTCTTGTTGTTTCTTTAAGTCCTGTGTATTTAAGTTCACGTCAGAGTATGTATCCCCAGTCATGTCATTAACGTTACGTGTTCCTGTGTCCTGCATTTGGATTGATTCCAAATAAGCCCTTCGATTCTGATCCCTCGTCTCCCTGTTCCTACTTCCGTGATCTGCGAACGTGACAGAATTACACAGACTTGGCAAGAAGATGCCTCAGCTAACGACAGCTGAATATGGCGATCTCATCAACGTGACTGCTTATTGGCTTCAACAGCCCGAAATTCAAGAAAACCCTACCGCTCGCGCCCTGGCTATACACACTGGGAATATCCCGACCTTGACAAACGACGCTTTCCTGGCTAAAGAAGTTTGGTTAAACTTATGGCAGCTCAGGGACGTAACGACTGAGGCCAATAGGCAGCAGGTGGTGTTGGACAGCGGACTGTCATTGGATCCGCCAGCGGAGCCGCCCGCAGTACCCCAGACCACTGGAAAAAAGAAGCACAAAAGATGGAGACGTACGGAGACACCAACGATCTTCCTGGGGGCCATCTCCATCTCCGCCGCTTCTTTCCCCGCCGGGTCTCGGGAGGAGCCCCTCCTGATTTTAAACACCACGGTGTTCATGCAAGAAACCACCTCCACTGCCCTGGAGTGCTTTCCTGCAGTTTCCCTGCTGGTACCCGCAGCATGCCCCTTCACCAGGATGCGTTTCCCGTGATATGTCAATTGTTATCCTGGTTACTTCCATTGTGCCTGTTCTGTGTATCTGTCCTGTTCCCCGTGCCCTGTTGATGATGTTCTTGGTTTTGTTTTCCAGGTCTTGTCTTCCCAGTCCCGTCTCTTCGTTCCCCTGGGGCGGGCCCAGAGTGTGCGCCTTCGGGGGTGGGGGGGGGTTCTGTCACACCCAGCTCGTTAACATCATGTGAAATCCCGATGTTCTCAGCTGTTTCTTATTTCATTAAGTCCTATATATTTAAGTCCACGTCAGAGTATGTATCCCCAGTCGTGTCATTAACGTTGCATGTTCCTGTGTCCTGCATTTGGTTTGATTCCAAATAAACCCTTCGATTCTGATCCCTCGTCTCCCCGTTTCTGCTTTTGTGATCTGCGACCGTGACTGTCTTTCTTCGACTGCTGAAAACGGCTCTTCTGGGTAACAGTTGTGTAGCAATAACAAACATCTTTTTATTAGAAATTACATATTTTGATGACAGACAAAACGTTTTTTCCTCAATATTTGGAGCAAACCATCACCAAAAGGAAATTAAATTTGGCTTTAAACAACATACAGTAATTACACCCTGTATCCATTGCATTAGCAAATTCTGTAGGAGTAACAGGGATTGCATGAGAGAGGGGTGGCCAATCTTATCCACAAAGGGCTGGTGTGTATGAATGGTTTTTTGGATAACCGTTAAGTCAGCTGTTCAAACCCAGGTGTGAGGACTCTTCAGCCAATCAGTCCTGTAATTAGTAATCTAATTAGGGAGTTGCAGTGAAAATCCGTATATCCAATGGCCATTTCTGGATACGATTGCCCACCCCTGGCATAAGAGTATAACAACTCGCTGTGAGTCATAAGGAGCCATTGATCCAGTTCCTAAAAAAAAAAAAAAAAAATTGTTTTTGAATGTCATGGTTTTTCCAGTTGAAATGCCTGAATGGAGAGAAGTTGTGTTTAAAGATAAGATACCAAGCTAATAACAGCTGTTAGTAAACCAGTTCCAGAGGTAATTTATCAGTTTTGTAACTGGACATAAGGAGATAAGAACGGTACCAAATAGAATCAGGGTTAGCCAGAAAACCTCTACCTCAATTTTAAAAGTGTTAAGGGAAGAGAAGTCTAAAATATTAAGGCCTTCATTTTCAACAGTATTGATTATTACAAAGGATTATTACAAAATCTCAAGTAAGAAAATGTCACTTCATTTGTAATGAGGTATTGGTGTAACATTTTGGGTGCATGGCAACTGTTGGTTTACCAGATTGCCTTACATGCGAACATTGAAAAATTGAAATTTCCCTGTAAAGCAATCTGGGTAAAGTATGATAAAGTATCTATTTTAATGTGTGCTTTTGTGCTGCGCCCGGACAAAACATGATTTTTTCACATTATTTTGTCTCCCTTATGTTGAATTACTTAGAATATCATTGAAATAAAATTAAACTTCTGTATGTCCATATTGACATATATATATATATTTTTTACCCCATATTACCCTCAGTCCCAATCTTTGTCCCTAAAGTGTGAGGTGTGAGTGGGACATTACATACAGTGGTAGTGTTTGCCCAATTTGCCCAATTTAGCTTGTTTTGTGGATAAAGAATGACAATGGATTTTGATCACTGGACACTTTTGAGTGGTGGGTCCTTTCTATACAAGTAAAATAACCGGAAGGCAATGAAACATTGCGTTATTTCGACCGGAAAATGGTTCAAAATTGTTTGAAAGTTTAACGTTTCTATGTTAATTTTTCAAATGTTTGTTTTCTCTTAAAAATTAAGGAATTTTAGTATGTTGCATGCCAAAATAACAACTTCCAGCTTGCCAGAGGACCAGTGCTTGACACGAATAAGCTAAATTTGCTTAGAAACTGTTCTTAGTGTTTGGGGAAGATGTATTCAATAAAATTCTGCACAGTTATGGTTATTTGTGGCTTTACTTTCAAATGTAGGCTCTTTATGCTAGGTCACTAAAGATCCAAGGTAATGTTTCCTGAAGGTCCCATGTACACAAGTTACAAA